TGATGTGCCTATTGATTACCAACTTAGATGTATAAGAGATGTATAAACTTACTTCGAAGTAGATGTATAAAATAATGTGCGGGTATGAGCCGAAAGAAGCTATTCGTCCTCCTACAGGTATTTGCAACACACTTCAAAGTCTTGATCTGCTTATGATAAAACTGCATCATAAACTAAGCAAATCACACTCATACTCCTCATCATCGGCAGTAGTATCCTTGTTACTTATCTTGGATACTCCATAGTCACAATAGTAGGGCCACTTCCGATGACTATCCTAAACAGCATCCCCAGCCTTCCCACTATCCCAGGTCTACAGAGATCCTTAGAGGAAGAGCAAACGGCTGAATCATGAATTACTGGGAATGTGTCTACTCTTGTTCGTCAGGCAAGACTTACAGGTGTTTTAATTGAGGTGTGTCATGAGGCAGTCCAACGGGAAGATAGCGGAGATTATTACGCGCCAAATACCTGAACAAGGAAAGAGTATGAAGGAATGTTGGAAATTGTGTCTAAATAATCTTTTGACGGGGAAATTTTCATCTTGTCGCATTTTTAACCCTTTAAGAGCCACAGGAAATTTTCAAAATTCTGCATTTTTTCGTGTTCCTTGGATCATAGCTTCAGTTCTACTGACTCAATCCTCACAATCTAGGGCTTCCTGGAAAGGTCTCCGTGAGAGGAAGATAATGAGGTCGATCATGATAGCCAGCACACCGTCTATCCAGCGCTAGATCGCAGCGAAAAATGCCCCAAATGCGTCCAATTGCGTCCCGCTCCAGATATTTCATTTTACTCGATCGTGGAGTTCCAATTTTTTCGCTGTGTACTCTTGACAATATCAACAGTGAAACCCGTGCAAATTCGAGTAAACCAGCGTGACGAAAAGTCTCAAAATTCTGAATACTAAAGTCGCACTGCGCACTTTTGAAATTGCCGCGATCGCGGCTCAGCTTACGAGTGATTTATATCAGGAACCGTTGCTCGCAGCGCTTCGCGGATTGTTTCTCCCGACAGGTGAGAGTTTTCTCTTCACCCTGGATATTTCGATCACTGGATTTGAGCGAGATTGAACTGAGATACGATCTTTTGAAGTTTTGCATTTGAATGCGTCGTTTACGACGCATTCAAGTATGGGACGGCTCTTAAAGGGTTAAGAGAGCATACCTGAGAAAACCAGAAAAGCTGGGCGGGCCATCTCTCTGATTTCACTCAAATTTTGGAAGTAAGTTTCCTTTGGGGTCTACAACAATCATGCAAAAGGGCTCGTTGCATAACTTACGGACACCTTGGCTAAAATGGGCCCAAAATACGAATGAATATTGGGTCCAAAATGAGCGCTGGTACAGCGTACGCAATGGAGATGAGAACAAACCACCACCATGCCAACATTAGCTCACCTGAGCAGTCTTCACATCACCACCAAATAGAGCCATGGCTACATCCAGGAAAGCAATGGCCATCATCTCCAAATATCACTAAATTGCATCGCTAGAATAGCCAAATGTCAAGGGCCATAGCGGGAGCCATTTACGGCGTCTATTTTTCTGAATCATGCACTGCAGGATAGTGGACTATACTCCATTACCCCCCAGGACATGTCTCGTAAAAAACAGTTCCAGGTTTTCTGGAAATAAACAAATTCAAATATTTTTACTTCACCAAATTGCAACATTGCCAATTTCATACCCGACGACGGAAAGAGCCTCCTCAAGCTCCAACACCAGGCACTGCTCCAGACACCAGCACGCCAAACACTGCAGCGTGGTCACATATACCGAGTCTGACAAGAAATTCGAAATGACAACCCTTGTCACTCCAAACAACAACCATTTCCTTCCCTGAACAACTCGAATTTCACTAGCAGCAAAGCTCTGCAGAAGTGCAAACATATTGAACAAACCTCGATTTGTGCGATCGAAGCACGATATTTTTGCGTCCTGAAACTGGCCGTGTGCCGACCACCGCGTGACATAGCAGATCGACGGATTTGATTGATTTGATCGACAATCAAGATCAGAATCAAAATCTAGATGATCAGGTTGATCAGCAACATGATATTTGCTATGCTACTACTGTGATGTATGATGGAATGCTGCTTGAGTGAAACCATGAAGAGACACGATGCCCTGCACTTCATGATTTGGGATCTAGCTGCAACCTGTTTTCCAGGAATATCATTTGAAATTTCGACCACGTAGCATACTGACCAACCACCAAAATCTCAATCCCTTCATGCAGAATCCCTGGATTTTTCGCAAAATCCCTGGATGGCACAAAAACAAGTGAAAGGGGCTTTTCCCGCCAAAAAAAGTTCAACTCTGCAGATCTGTGCCCGGCACAGTTCAACCCTGCACTGCAGTTCGATCAGTCGGTGCGTCGGCGCCCACCTATAGCGCCTGTCAGTGCAGATCTTGTGGTCAGGTCTTGAAAGTGCCATTAACAGTTCGAAGTGCAAGTGCGCACCGTACATATTTTTGAAAAAAACCTTGACATTCAAAGCAAATCCATGGAGTTTTCAGGAAAATCCTGTATCAGACGAAACTGTGACTTTTCCGGGATTTTCCTTCAAATCCCCAGGACCCGGGGAGTAGTGTTGATTTCCCGGGATTTTCCCAGGAAAACCGGGAGGGTTGGCCAGTATGACAGGTATGACAGGTTCGGGCACTTTCTTTTCAGGTGCACCCCGGAGAGATAGACTTGCTGGGTACGGAAATGCATCCACGGCTATTTCGTGTATCTGGTAAGTTGGTCGTGTGTTTCGTGCATTTTTTTAGGATGCCAACAGTAATTTTGTGTTTCACGCATGGATGACACCTGTTGCCGGAGCGACATAGCTCGACAAAGAGAATAAAGTTGATTCCTATCGACATAATGTCTCTATTCCCACCTGATCTATATTCCTGCAACCAGATAATGTGATGAGCTCAACACAATAGTCATTATTGGGGTTTTGAGCATAGTCATCCGAGTCCTAGATATCGAATTTTCATTACAAACTGATTTTCAAAATATCCTTCTTGCCAGGTCGATGGAGTCGCGCTGAGACCAAACGCTGCGCGGTCAACAAGCTCTGCATTGTCACTGATTAGAGTGTCGACCTTTCGGAGACAAATAGTTTCTCGATCAATGTGTACGGATTGGCTGGGTATCGATCAACTGATGCAGAAAACTGCCAAATATAGAAGGGAAATTCCCAGTCCAGTGGATGTCGGTTATAAAGTCATTGGACATGGTGATAAACCGGCTATATTGATACAAAATGAAAATATCAAAAGCAAAACCAGAAAAAGCCAGTCAAATTATCATTTTAACCATTATCGTATATAGCGATAACTCGGCTATAAGGACACTGAATCACCATTCAAAACACCTCTTTGTGCAGAAAAATTATCGTCTATAGTGATAGCAATACACGAGTGTGAGGCATTGATGTCTCGACTTGGAGCCACATGTATGTTGTCATAATGGTATTCTGGTCTGGTGCTTCCTGGATGATGCCTTTTGGCCAAGAAGTTCTTCACTCTAGACTGGAGAAGGTGCAGTAGCATGCATTACGTATCAGTACGCTACATTAGCGCGATCGAGTACCCACACGTGTATAATGTGTATGTATGACACAGGCAGTTGAAAATCGCCTGTAGTGATATACCGGTTATAGTGATAAATGTGAAAAATCAGAAGGGCACGTTATAACCAATATCTACTGTACTTGGTAGGGATGACCAGGCGGTTGAGCAATAGAAAAAAATGGGGAGAATATAGCAATGATAAAAAAGGCAAATGCATCAAAGCGGTAGGCGGGAGCAATGAGACGCGAGATAGCCAACAGCTTTACTGACTTTGCTACAGATATAGTCGACATGTATACTAAACGATAAGTCTGAGTCAATGACCAAACCAAGATGCGTGTGTTGTTTTACCACGGTGAGGTCTGTTAGGGATCCGGGAAGAGTAAATGCATAGGTTGGCTCTGAGTTCGGCAGGAATAATATCTCAGTTTTGGCGATATTAGGTCTTAATCTCCAGGTAGTCATCCACTGATGGACTTCGTTGATGCCGCACTTGAGACTGTCTCGCAGCCTCACTAGACACTCATTGAACCGGAGCAGTTCAGTATCGTCAGCAAATAAGGACACACCTTCAACATGACTGGGAAGATCATTAATATACACTTGGAAAAGGAGGGGCCCTAGGATGGATCCCTCCGGCACTCCGGACAGAACAGGTGAGGCATCTGAGAGAAGTCCACCTTCAAAGACAACTTGCGTTCTGTCGGATAGGTAGTCTGTAATCCACTCTAGCGCTGCGCCACACACACCGAAAACTTTGGAAAGTTTAGCAAGTAATGCACAGTGCCACACGGTGTCGAAAGCCTTCTCGAGGTCGAAAAAGCATATGGCAACTTTCTGCCCCGTATGACGATGGTCGGCAATGTTTTGGATCTGCTTGGTGAGCTGTAGAGCGGTCGAGTCACCACGACGAAACCCAGATTGCGCGGGATCTGGAGTAGGAAAAATATGATTATATAATTGATTGAAGAAGAGCCGTTCCCAAAGTTTGGAAATACAGGACAGGAGGGAAATTGGGCGAAAGTTACTCGCTTGGGATTTGCTGCCTTTGCACTTGTAAATAGGCACAAATTTAGCCAGTTTCCAGTCGGTATGGAACTTGCCTGTGGTAAAGGAGAGGTTAAATAGGTGGCTAAGCGGAAAAGAAATCGCGAGAGCTAGTTTCTTTCTTGAAGGAATGCACCATGGAACTTGTAAAGACACTATCTCAGCTCTTTGCTTCTAACACGGAGTTCTACCTGGAAAAGTCTTCCACGAGCGGTGTCAGCTTCGGATCATAAAGGGTACATGAGATCAATGAACGAGATGCAATATCCCAAAATCCCATTTGCCACATCTCAAAAGAACTACGACAAAAATGTCTTTTTACGGTACATTCACAACATGACTTACAGGTTTTGTAATTTGGTTGTGGTTTTGAACAGCCCAGCAGGTAGGTGAACAAGATGATTAGCGTCCAAATCTCTGGGAGAACAAAGTAGAATTTGGATATGATGTATGATCCTGGAAGAATATTGCGTGCTAGTTTGTAGGTGGAGTGTGTGGATTACAGTGAGGGCTGCGTCCCACCCGCCTGTATAGATTCACACAAAGTGTGAGTTACGAAGTCTGAAGAAAATGTTGAACGGTTTCTGCTGGGATGACCACTACACCATAGCTCAGTGGTTACAGCATCGCTGGCTACAAGCGAGGGTTCCTGGTTCGAGTCTTGGTGGAGTCAGGCAATTTGTTCTTCAGATTGCTCCTGCTGCCATTGCCGATCTTGTCATTCTTCTAGTTGATGCTGCTCCTGTCACTGCTATGCCAGTAAGTGTCTTGTCCGGTTGTTTTTCCGGTGGTCTAGTTAATTGTGAGGTGACGTTGCTTGGTGTTGATGCCGCTGCGTTAGATCATCTTGTACCAGGATGATTCTTTGCTGGACGTCTCCTGTTGTCAGATGCGTGTGTCCAGATGTTGACAAGATCGGCAACAATGGTGATGGCAGTCTAAAGCACTGACATCAACGCCAAGCAACAGCTAAGATCGGCACCGACGGCGATTGCAGCGTCTAAAGCACTGACAGCGGCAATGGCTAGGGTCCACACGACTAGCCATTTGGTATCGGATGTGTCCACCGCACATGCTGATTATTCTCATGTATGAGTCGTCCATTGCTAGTCATTTGTTTGAGCATCCTGATTGTTGTGCTGTGTATTCAGATGATTTTGTTCGATTGTGTCATGTGTACGCAGTGCTAGATTGTTTTGAAGCCGTATACATCCACACAAAGAAACCCAACCTTTGCAAGCAAGCATAAGCAAATTAAATTCACACTTAGGCTGTTAGGTAGGTTGTGAAAACCTCGTTAGTTATGTCCAGTGATTGTCTCTTGTTGTCGCACTACATGTCACGCTTATTGAGTTTTCTCGCACTTGTACTTTTGTGTCATTATTGCTATGTGTATAGGTCACGCATTTTCGCTGTTAACTTTAGCTATCTTCTTCTTTGCGCTGCTGGACCACCTCCTTACCGTACTTAATTCAGTGTTCCTTTTCCTTTTCCTTTGCCTTTAATTCACCTGATGAGAAGGCTTGAAAGAATACTTGGGAAACCCAAACTTTCAAGATTTTCATAAAGTCCTTTTTATGAGTATTGTCGCATTCTTGTCTCAGAGGAAACTGTCTATATAAGCAGTAAAACAATAAGTTATGATTTTAAATAGTTTTACTCGGATGGTGAGCCAATTTATTATGATAAAAGAGGAGAAGGACAACCTGTCACGAGTTATGACTAGGGACCATAAGCAAGTCGTAAAACTTCTACGCGAAGGGGGAGCTGGTTTAGAGACCAGTCGTGACAATGCGAAAATTATTCGTGTCTCAGGAGTTCGAATGGGTTTACTCGTCATGACCGCTACGAGTGGGTTTTGAGCTATTTCTCAAATTTCGAAAATGTCTCACCAATTCTTGTTGGAATAAAGCCAAACCCGTCACAGTGCACACACCTCCACGCATGCCGGCAGAGAAGGCAGCAGCATGGGCAGCACAGAGCGGAACAGCGGAGCTGAAAGTGACTCTCAACGTACCGATTCGGCACCAAAAGCGGCCCAGAGTTTGACCCACGCCAGCGCCGTATCCGAAACCACCCCCGACAGTGCCAACACCACTCCGAAAGCGGACCTGCTCTCCAGCTCGCACCAAATGACCCAGTCAACAACCCGTACGAACACAACCTTATATCGCCCATGTCGGCAACTAGCACGACTGTGCACCCTGAAACGCCGCCAGGCAGCACAGGTACAGGCACGACAACATCCAACCTCACCGCACACCGACACAACCACTCCTACCAAGACAACGTGCAGTCACCCAGATTCGGCGCTTGCTGAATATCTCCTATCCTCACTGGTGTCTAACACAGACATGTCTAAACAGCCAGCAAACCCCTGGATTACCTCCGAACAATGCAGGAAAACCAGTCCCAGTGCGAAATCCTCACCTGATTTCTAAAATTCCAAAAAAACAAAAAGAGAGCATAAACATCGCCCCTGGCCACAGCCAACCCCTTGCCCCAGCACAGGGCTCATGACTCAGCCAACTGGTGTGACAGGATACTCAATCCTAGCCTACAGTGACATTGTTATCAACACCTTTTAGGTATTTCATTAGATTTTTAGGACCCCTAGCCATACATGTAGCCATGCACCCGCTTACGCCAAATTCCACTCCCCTTTTTAATTACCTCCTCCTGCAATGAAGGGTAGCAAGCATCTTCGTATTCTCAGCACAAACGCTTTCGGCCTAGCCAGCAAACTTCCCGACCTACAGCATGCACTCCTGCAGCATCAGCCCGACGTCGCAATTGTGACAGAAACGAAGTTCACTGCGGAGAAATTGCTTCCCTCTGACAATAGTTTCCCTGGATACAGCTCACCATTTTGGTTGGACAGAACGGCACACGGGGGAGGGGTAGCCATCTGGGTGAAGTCGTCACTCCCCTCCATGCTCATCACTGAACTCATGTCCCCCGCACATGAGATCATCTGGTTTTCTCTCCAGCTGGGCCCAGGTCTCCGCACCGTCTTGGAAGCAGTGTATCGGCCGGAGTCCGGTGCCCCTGGCGATCTCACCCTAATTAACCATCCCGACACCATCCTCCCAGAACCTAGACAGCAGGGCCCTCACATTATCCTAGCTGGCGATTTCAACGTGCACAACCAGGCTTGGTTGAACAGCTCGAAAACTACGCCTGCAGGCAAGGCTCTCAAAGATACCTGCTGCCCATCTTCTTTTCCAGCATGTCACCCGTGAAGACAACCCGATAGACCTCATAATGTCAACATTCACGTCCCAAGTAACTACACGTACACTTCACCGATCTGACCATGCAGTTGTACTGTCAGAATTTTCTGATGTGCTCCATAGACGTGAACCCCCCAGTATTTTGCTACAACAGGGCAGACTGGGATCGCCTCAGGGCGCACCGTCGCAACGTGGAATGGGGTGATATCACCACGGAGGAAATTTCCTGTGAGCAAGTTACCGCTTCGATAACTGCAGCTGTTGCATAATTTGTCCCATCCAAAGTTCTGGAAACGAGGCCTTCCGATCCGGTATGGTGGACGCCTGAATGCTCCCAGACCGAGAGGGAGAAGAAAAAGCGCTGGCGCGACCGGAGAAAACACCCTTATGAACCAGCACTTCAGCAGGCATTCACCAATTCTGTGACGAAGTTGAAGAACGCCGCTGGCAACTGCACGCAGCTCGAAATTCCCTAAATTGTCAACTCTGATGGCCGCGAGTGGTCAACGAGCTCAGGGAAAGCCGAGGCATTCGCTCGCTTCTTCTCAAAGAAATGTAGCGTTGCCGGTCCGGACCTTGTGGAGGCTGACCCAGTGGACCCTGGTCCCTCAGATGCTCCACCTCTTTGCACCATCCGCTTCCGCCCCGAGGCTGTGCGCCCATTCCTGGCAAAGCTGGACGTCTCCAAGGCTACAGGGCCTGACAGTATTTATGCTTGCGTCCTTAAGGAATGTGCTCCCGAGCTTGCAGAGCCACTGCCCAAGTTATTTGCTTTATGCTTCCGGTCTGGAGTCCAATCCAGCATGTGGAAGACGGCCACCGTGGTTCTGATCCACAAGCGATCTTCCCGCTCAGCTACAGGCCCATATCCTTACTGTACATAATCTCGAAAATCATGGAAACTCTAGTAAACAAACACATCGTAAACTATTTTGAGGACCACCGTCTGCTCACGCCGCACCAGTTTGGATTTCGCGGAGGCCTCGGAACATCAGACACTTTGCAAGCTCTCCTAACTGCCTGGGCAAGCGCTGTGGGCTGTGGAGGGTGGGGCGTATCCTTGATGTGGACATCACAGGAGCATTTGATCGTGTCTCACATGTCGGCCTCCTCCACAAGATGCGTAGCCTAGGCATCAATGGTCTGCTTCAGAGATGGCTGGCCTCGTCCCTCGACACCCGTTCCTTACAGTGCCTCGTTGGAGGCGTACGTCATCTACGTATGCGACCACCGCTGGAGTCCCCGAGGGAAGCATTCTAGGACCAACACTTTTCCAGGCGTACGTCAACGACACGCTAGATGTTCTCGCTGACGTCGACAGCCACAGCAGCCCCTGGGGCATGAAATCGTTTCCGTCGTTCCCCTGCGCAGTTGTAGGTTCTTTTACGTCCAATTCCCTGCTCTCCCAGGGGGAGTATGGCTACCATAGATTTTGGTATTCTGGATAGCTAGGGACAGAAAGCCTAGCAAGGGCCAACAATGTGAACTTGGCCAGCCTCCGCCGAGTTCAGCTCGTCGGAGCACTCCGGGAAAAAAATCCAGCCAAATGATCGAGTAGCATTACAGACTGGGCTACCAATGGACCCTCAAGCCGCCAGCATCAGGATGCTTACGATCATGAATCAGCTGAGGGAGACAGTGCGTCTTCTTGTGGAAGATATTGCGGACCTGAAAATCTAACAGCCTCCAAAGAACAGAAAAAGGAAGCCGCCATTGCGGACTTTCGAGAGGAGATTCGGGCTCTCCAGGAAAAGAAAGTATAATTCCAACGTGAAGAATCATCGGAGCCAGCTGCAGTACGTGCTAGGAGGGATTCCTACGCATCCCGGATAGCCATTGAAGCACCAAGAGAGTCCCCAGCCCCAGTCCACCTTCTAGGCTGCGTTCGTTTTTAGCTTCCTGGTAGAGTAGAATCACTCTATTGATGGTGGTAGACGGTAGAGGTTCAGGGGTTTTACGTCGGGCCCTAGACGACGGCTACAAAGGCCAACTGGACAACAAAGAAGGTGACGCCTAAGAGAATGTTTTATGATCTTGCGCATGCTTATAATGTGATAGTGACGTCAGTTCGCTACAGTACTCCCCCGCCAATGGTGAGGCCGGGAGGCGCGAAGCACGATAAACAAGAAAAAGAGAGAGAAGGGAAAAGAAGCGCGGCATGTTCAAGGCGGAAAGGCAAACATATAATACAATATGTACAAAAGAGCGCTGCGCGCATGAAGTTTGTTGTTAACGTGGCAACAAAGACCAAAACAAAACTCAGAAAGCAGAAAGTGGAAAAGAGAGAGATGCATGACAGAGGCGGGTGTAAAAGTTGGAATGAAAGAAAAGAGAAAATGTACGCGTGACAGAGAAGTGTTATCATGTAAGAGGCGGCTGCAACGTACCAGTCACTGAGTGCAGGAAACACTGGGGCGAGGCATGCCGTGTGAGGCGAGGACTGATGGAGGCGTGCGTACCTCCAAGTCCTGTGCCGGGCGTATGCCTGCAAACTGATACTTGGGGTGGAGGTGGCCAATTTCCAGCTTGAGGCCAGGATGAATACAAAAGACGAAGACGACTGATCGATATGCTGTGACAGGATAGCGGGTTATCCAGGTGGGCTGGGAGGTCGGCAGGGGCCACGCTAGCTCCGAGGCGGATCCAGTTTCGAGATGGTGAGGCTCAAGTTTCAGTCAACAGTCGGCGATTGACTGGATCCCGAGAGTTGAGGCGAGCAGGGAACTGCGGCAAGCCGAGCTCAGGGATGGCATGATGAAAACTCCGAAGAGCGCATGTCGGTGGTCACCAATCTAGGGTTTTAGGGTTTTTGCAGTCAGAGGCGGATCCAGTGTCTGATGATGCTGAGATTCAAGTTTTACGTTACCGGCCGGCAATTGACGGCAACCCAAGAGTTGAGACGAGCAGGCAACTGCGGCGAGAGATCAGGGATGGCACGCATCGGGCAAACTCCAAAGTGGGCAGCGTGTGGGGTCACCAGTTTAGGGCTTTATGTTGCCCTCTAGTCGACGGCTACAATGGCCAACCGGACAACAAAGAAGTTGAGGCCAAAGAGAAGTTTATTTTCTTAGGCATGACTATAACAGGGCTGCCACACTTGGAGGGCCCAAAATCTGACTGGGGTCCGGGCGTGTCCCCCGTTGAATATTTTTTAGGAAAATCGCTTGCTGTTGGGGCCCCTGAAGACAATTGTCCACACACATGCAAGCACGCGTGCATTTTACAGGTACATGTACATGTTAATGTACAATGACTGGCTAAACGCAACCTGGTAGCGCCGAATGGCCAACTTGACTTAAAAGCGCTCAACATTAAAATAATCGGTTGTTCCTCTTTGGGAACAAAATCTGTCGGTTTGTCCGACAGGCGATCAAAAATCGGACGATTCCCGAAAAATCGGAGCAAGTGGCAGCCAGGCTATAATGTGATAGTGACGTCAGGTCGATACAGAGGTATCTGTACGCGAAACCTTTTTCTTCTGTATTGAGTTGTGCAACTACAGTCTGTATCGGCTATTGAGTGACCGGATATAAGAATATATCGGCTACAGTGATATTACTCATAAAAAGGACACACTTCAGGCTCATTACAAACATCTTGAAAGTTTTTGTCTTCACAAGTATACTTTCAAGCCTTCTCATCAGGTGAAATACAGGCAAGGGAAAAGGAACAGGAACAGTGGATTAAATACAGTAAGAAGGTGGTAAAACAGCGCAAAAAGAAAGAAAGAAAGAAAGAAGATAGCTAAAGTAAACAGCGAAAATTGCAATAATGACACAAAGGTGCAAATGCGAGAAAACTCAATAAGCGCGACATGTAGTGCGACAACAAGAGACAACCACTGGACATACATGTAACTAACGAGGTTTTGACGACCTACCTAACAGCCTAAGTGTGAATTTGATTTGTTTCTGCTTGCAAAGGTCCGACAACACGCACCGCTACACCTTATTCCACAACACGCACGATCCACTCGACCACGGAGGGGACGTCCAGCAAAGAATCATCCTGGTACAAGATGGTCCAACGCAGCCGCATCAACACCAAGCAACGTCACCTCACAATTAACTAGACCACCAGAAAAACAACCGGACAAGACACCTACGTGCGTGGCAGTGACAGGAACCGCATCAACCAGAAGAATGACAAGATCGGCAACGGCGGCGATGGCAGCGACTAAAGCACAGACAGAGGCAACGGCTAGGGTCCACTCGACTAGCCATGTGAAATCGGACGTGTCCACCGCACATGCTGATTGTTCTGATGTTAGTTCTGATAAGTATGAGTCGTCCATTGCTAGTCATTTGTTTGAGCATCCTGATTGTCGTGCTGTGTATTCGGATGATTGTTTTTCGATTGTGTCACGTGTACGCAGTGCTAGATTGCTGAATGTTTTGGAAGCTGTATACATCCACACAAGGAAACCCAACCTTTGCAAGCAGAAACAAATCAAATTCACACTTAGGCTGTTAGGTAGGTCGTCAAAACCTCGTTAGTTACATGTATGTCCAGTGGTTGTCTCTTGTTGTCGCACTACATGTCGCGCTTATTGAGTTTTCTCGCATTTGCACCTTTGTGTCATTATTGCAATTTTCGCTGTTTACTTTAGCTATCTTCTTTCTTTCTTTCTTTCTTTTTGCGCTGTTTTACCACCTTCTTACTGTATTTAATCCACTGTTCCTGTTCCTTTTCCCTTGCCTGTATTTCACCTGATGAGAAGGCTTGAAAGTATACTTGTGAAGACAAAAACTTTCAAGATGTTTGTAATGAGCCTGAAGTGTGTCCTTTTTATGAGTATTATCGCATTTTTGTCTCAGAGGAAACTGTTTACAGTGATATTGGTAAGAAATATCAAGAGCAATACACCACACCGCCACATTGCGCTCTTGGCCGATCCAAACTCTGCGCTCACATCACCAACACCACAGAAACAGATGTCTGGAGGGTCATTGTCAATATCAATCCATATACCGGAATTGTCCTCTTGTACTTTTCGGTCCTGTTATTTCGCTATCCTTCTCTGTTTTGTAAACCTGAAACACTGACATGACATTTCGGAATCGTAGGAAAGCATGATACATATTTTGGAGAGCCGACAGGCGTCACAGAGCAAGGCTGTCAACGCTGCAGACAAATAAGAGCGAACTTTTTTTCATTTTTCGTCCACCAGGCGCAATGGGAAGAAAAGCACTGCCCTCACATCTCGTTGTAGCTATTTTTCAGTTCAGACCTTGACAGATCAGGACAATGGCATCCAGGTGCAAGAAGAGTGGGAAATGAATAGCAATAGCAGCTAGCGTGTCGAAGCTTCGCCATGATGTCAAAACTCCATGGCTACCTGCAGTGGCCATGACCATCCTTAGCAGACGGATGATCATTTGTAGCTGTCTACATACAACTGTATCTGATACAAGGCTGCTCTTAAGTCTGCACGGGTTTCGGTACAGGGTGGATGACGAACCACATTTTCGCTTACGTTGGTTGCGACCACCTCGTGAGTGGCATCAGATATCGGTCATAAAGGGTGGGGAAGGGTACCTCAGATCAACCAAAGAGATGCCACTTGGCACTGGCGGATAATCATCGGAAAGGTGGCACATTCTGCTCGAAAAGCAGTGAAATTGGCAGAACGATACAAACCGTATGACGGGCAATTTCTCGAATTTTGCTCCATTTCTTAATCCACATACCAAACATGCATGAAATTTACAAGAAAAAGTACCGAATTCTGCCAATTTTCTGCCGCATTATCCGCCTATGCCTAGATGCCACACCCCGAAATCCCATTCGCCACGTCTTAAAAGAACAGAACTACGCCAAAAAAACGCCTTTTACGATACATGCAACACATGACTTACAGGTATTTCAATTCGGTTGTCGCGTCAAACAGCCCGGCAGGTAGGTGAACAAGTTCATTATACCACAAATCCCTGGGAGAACAAAGTGTATTTTTGATAGCATGTATATCAATTCCTGGAAGAATTTCTTAATACTCTTTATACCGTGCTTTACACATTTACCGCATATCAAAATAACAGAACTACGCAAAAAATCTCTTTTCCAATATATGCACCCCATGACTTGGATAAGATGTACATTGTGTAGTATCCCTGCCTTGCTTGTAGCGTATCCTCGTACGTTAGTGTATCCCTATACGTTAGCGTATGTGGTCTGTTGCCTATAAAAGCTGCTAGCCATTTCTGTTTTCATGAAATTTTATAACAACAACAAAGCCGAACATAAGAGCTGTTCAACCTCCAGGTGTGTACCGGAGAAAGTTCTTTTTATTGCCGCTTCGTTTTTTCAAAGAGAATCGGTGAGCACACATGCTCATTCCCTTGGCACTGCAAATTCAAAACTCATTTTCATTTCTCAGAATCATTTTCAACGTTTTTGGCAAATTGCCCTCATCAGGATGCTATATGAAGTGGACGTCTGCAAAGGAGAAGTTATATACATCAATTTGGTGTTCTTAGGTGTTAATATTTCTATGACTACACATGTTACCTCAGTGCTAGGAATATGACATGTCTAAAACTAGTGAAAGATCACAAGCTTTCACTGATTTCTATGCTGTGTGTTGGTAGTAAGTAATTACAGTCCATTCATTGGAAACTGGCACCCTAACTTTTTGGTGTCTCTCTCACATAGTTGTAGATATCGTGAAAACAACAGTACGTCCTGCATTGTGTGACCCGTGCAATTACTCCTTGCCACATTTGAGGGCAGAAAAGTCCAAGAACAGGGAAATAGAAATTCAGCCAGGTTTTACAGAATTAGGACAGGTATGCCAGGGCAAAATGTATGGAGAAGCAGATCCAAAACCCAGATTTTTGAGATTTAAAGTGGGTTTTTGATCCTCAATTCGGCCCAAATCTGACTTTCAAAAGCCAGCGGGCCAGTTTCCGATGAATGAACTGTAGTTAGCACAGTGCAGATGTCACCAGATAAGAAACGTTTCTCACGAGCAATGCACGAAAGTGACTATGTCAGTGTTTTCAAGAAAATACTGTCACCTACAGATGCGCTCGGTGAAATCCGGCCCGAAGTGCAAAGCCGGCGCAGCGAATTGGCGCGAAGCCAGCTCCCATTACATCACTGGCGATTTGTGTGTATGAACTCAACGGTACGCACCTCGCGTAAAAGTTCGGAGTGCACGTGTTGCATGCTAAAAACAGTTCAAAATTTCTTTCATTCTCTTCACTCAAGGATCTTCTCGATAGCGGAGTACCCAACATCCTGTTTCAACCTCCCTGTTCGCTGGACATTGGTTGGTTGGTTGGTTGGTTGGATTTATTTAAAGTCGAACAACGAACAGGCATGTCTGCCTCCTTATATGAAGACCACTTCTGGCAGTAAAACATTTTAAAGAAAAGAGAAAGGAAAAAAGAAGAAGATAGTCGCTACAGTAAGACAATACGCGTGCAACACACCCTTGAACTGGAGGGGGACGTGATGTTTCTCGCATCAGGTGGAAGACTGTTCCAACCGCGTGCAGCAGAAAGAGACACGGGATGAGTTCTGGATGGAAGCTGCAGCAGATGTTGTTGGGAGCCAAGCGTTTGGCCAGCCCTAGTCGGAGTGACGAAATCTCCAAATTATGCGCTGATCAGCGGCTGCTCCATGGTGGAAAGTAGGCACCGGTACCGGTAGACCAGCAAGCACACTGTCTCACGCAAGAGCTGGTATACACGAAGCAGGTTGTGTTCCGCATACACGGGAGTCATACGGGTACGGGAGGGCAGGTTGTACACGACATGAATCCAATCGGGAATGTGTGGGCTCTTCTCAAGATTTGACAAGAAGAGAATAATTCCACATCGCTGCGAGAATGCTGACCAGCTGGTGCAAGCACTGCACCTGGAGTGGCACTTGTTCGCTCCTGCACGATTTCCCCATACGTGGAGCCAATGTCACGTCGTGTTGAAGCCCTAATCGAAGCAGACGCTGGCCACACAAAATATTGAAGCCCTGCTGTTCTGTGTATGAAATAAACTGCTTCGAAACATTCTCCGTCTTCTTTACTTGTCCTGAACTGAAATGAATGTTAAACTTGTCTTTGTTTGGCGCGGTTTTTACACTTTGGTATAAGCATGCATGCGTATGAGTACAGCACATGCACAGTTCATACGGCACACGCGCAACTGTAGATAACCAGTGTGGTGTGACTGTTTTAGAGTTATGACCATCCAGCACTGGTGTTGATCTCTGGGCCTTCGTTTCTGATCTCCACTGCCTCCCACAATTTGCGGCTTGCCCTGCCACTGGACCTTGCAATCACAGACACTGCTGAGAAGATGCTGTCCCCGACACTCAGGTTGATCCCTGCATGCTTAGCTCACATGTGGTCACCCCATGGCTTCTCCACAGTGCGCCCAAGAGCTTCAACATTGTGTTCCTCCAGTCTCGTCTCCAGTGTGTGACCCGTCTCTCCGATGTATTTTACCCTGCACAACTTGTATTGCAGACGGTAACTCACATTCTTCCTCAAACATTTTTTCACTCAACCCGACTTACAAGTCAGACATGGTCCCATTGGGCACCTTTTCTCTTTGTTTTTCTGATGTTTGGCTCCTAAATGCAGCTGGGCAGACTTTGTGCTGAGTGACAGAGCTGACTTTTGAGGCTACCCGCATGCTCGTAAACCACCCGGACTGGTAACTTGTGCTTCCGGATAGCTTTGCTGACGCTGTGATGCACCCTGTCCGACTTATATGGCAGCTTCAGAAACGCACAACATGTATTACCTCGGCGGCGACGCTTGGATTTCCTTGCTGCTTCTCGGGCATTAATGATGAGGCTCTCTGGATAGTAGTTGAGTTAAGTTGGTCTTGAATTTTCTGTTCACTTTCTTCACACATGGTGTCATCGGAAGACAGACGTTGTGCTCTTAAGAATTGAGACTTGGCAACTGCAAGTTTGATGTGATGGGGCACAGCAAATGCGTAGTCTATCAACAATCCACTATTGCATGGATTTTGGAAGAGCTTGTACGTCATCTGGCCCCACTGTTGTATGGCAATCAACACGTCCAAGTTATCAATCCAGCCTTTGCTACTGCTGAGCTCGTATGTGAACTTGAGTCGGTTGTGTCCTGCATTGAAGTGCTGTATTAGCTCCAAGAGGCGTCTCTCACCGTGGGCCCAGAGAATGATCACATCATCAACGTACCGTTTGTACAGCACAGGCAGAACCGGTAAATCGGCAAGAAGGCGCGTTTCCAGAGAGTGCATGAACAATTTTGCAAATGGAGGTGCTAGATTATTGCCCATTGCAACTCCCTCTAGCTGGGGGTAAATTTGGCCCCGAACCTGAAGAAGTTGTTACTGAGAACAAATTGAAGCAAGTACTTGACTTCCTTTCTTCATCGTCACACATTTTCGGCGGTTGTTTAAACCCACGCTGCTTGAGCTTCCAGAGTTTTCTGTCGCCCACAGTGTGAGAAACAGTCTCGTTGTCTGGAACCTCCAACTCTTGAGGCTGGGCTTGCTGCCAGCGCAACGTGCAGGCCATCGGTTCGACAGACGTAATCACCTTCGAACGCTCACGATCCGTGAACTTGCCTGTCGAAGGAACAAAGCTCGGTCCAAGCTCCAGAATCCGCCTGGTGCTGTCCGGCACACAATCATCCACAACTAATGCCCGCTGGACACTGGATCCATCACATGTCGTCGCACTACTGGTCCGAGCGCCAAGCTGGGCTTGTGATGCGGCTTGCGTAATTTCATGCTCTTGCTGGCCAAGCTTCTGGGCTAGCCTTGCATTTGTATCGATGCGCTCCTTTGTGGCTACGCAACGCTTCCTTATGTAGTCCTACCGATCCTTATGTACCCGGCCAGCACACAGCCACTGCTGTACTGGCATGAGTCGATGGTGAGCATTACAACGCAACGGACACCGGAAACGAGTAGGGGAAACATTTATTATTGACGATGAGACGGAGACAAAGACGAACTTCAACAACTACATTATGAGAGAGAGAGACTGAGACAACAAGAGACAATGAAGGGCCTGGGTAGCTATGGCAATATAGGCACGCAAGTAGCTACCCAGGCCAACGGAACAAAAGGTGAGTACAAGGTTCATATGGTTCATGCAAGCCAGCTAGGGAATAAGGTAGACTGTATGGGAAGCGGTACCTAACAGATAGAATGACCCCACCATTCTTCTATACAGTCATACTAACTTGTACACCCTTGAGAAACGCCTCAACTTAAAAACCCATGTATTTGTACCGCTGCCTGGATGGACTTGCTAGTCCTCTTCTGCGAGATCGCTTTACGTTGTCTCTGTTGCTCTTGTTCTGCCCCCCCCCCCTCCCCCAACACCTGATATGGCTTCAGTGCGATCTCTTATTTACGCGTTGACAGATATTAAAGGTTGCAAGAGGGCCACAAGTTATGAGAAACTGGAGGCTTTCACACGTTTCTCGTCCAACAAATGCAGTGTACAAGGCCTCGATCTTACTACGATGGACTTACTGGGCACAGCGTTCACTTGCGCATCTGAACTAACGACAAATCACTTTAGCCTCAATGCAGTCCACATGCTTCTACCTCGGCTTGATGCCTCAAAGGCGACTGGAACCGACGGTATTTCCGCTCCTGTCTTGAAGGAATGCGCCAGGGAACTTGTAATCTCAGCTCTTTGCTTCCAACAAAGAATCCAGCCACGGAATTCCACCTGGAAAAGTCTTCCACGAGCGGCGTCAGATTCGGGTCGTAAAGGGTGCGGGAGGGTACATTAGATCAATCAACGAGATGCCAAATCCCGAAATCCTATTTGCTACATTTCAAAAAACCAGAACTACGCAAAATAATGTTTTTTTCCAATACATGCACAACATGACTTACAATGTCACTAATCTGGTTGTAGCGTCGAACAGCCCGGCGGGTAGGTTAACAAATTCATTAAAAGCAAAATATCTAGGAGAACAAAGTAGAACTTGGATAAGATGTACATCACTTCCTGGAGGAATTTCTTTAGTGTGCTACTGCCGTGGACATGGAAATCCGGTCAGTGGTCAAGCAACCCATGGGCGCTGGCCATGCAGCCGTGAGTACGCATGCCGTGCACACATTCATTTCTGCGCTGCAGCGCTGCGCCGCTGATCCATTTTGGATTGTGTACATGAACTACAGATTTGGTGTGAATTTGGGAACGTGTCAATGCATATTGCTGGAAGTGATTACGCCATTACCCAGTACCAGTGAACTTTCCAGCAGGAAAAAAACACAGAACACCCAGCAGAAGAAAAAGAGAGAGGGAAAGACACAGTTGTGTTCTGATTGTTTTATTTGCAGCAGCTGGGAAGCTGGGCTAGTATCTGGTATGGCCACCATTATTTGCGATGACTTCCTGCAGACGGTTTGGCATGGATGTTGCTAAACTCGCCACATCGGCAGATCGGAGCCTTGTGTAGCTTATCTGCAGTTTGCCAGTTGTGTGCCGCCAGTCATCGTTTCAGCAAGCTCCAAATGTTCTCGATCGGTTTACCGGGTCTGGTGAACGAGCAAGTTTTAACGCAATGATCGGCATGCCGTTGTCGAGGATGTGCTGCTGCGCGTTAAGTGACAGAGACACAGCGCCGAGGACGTGCACCTTCGCCGGATGCTGTGACTGCTCAAGAACAGGCACAGAATCGCGAGGAAACCAGAACATGATTCGACCGTCGGGGCAGGCAGCGAAGCAAGCTTCGTCGGCGGATACCGTCTGGTCGAAGGCATGGTCTTGGTGGACGATTGCCCACACAAGACGGTGGAGCTTGTGTGCCTCTGTGAGGACGACTTTCTTATGCGGAAGCCAATGCGATGGGTTTCTGATAGGCGCCGTGTCACCTGCCTAGCACCTACTGATTCGCCTGCTGGACCGACATTAGCCAAGTTGGCTGCTGCTTTCTCGCTGCTGGAATAGCGGTTGTTTTCAACAAAATGCTGGATGTGCTGAAGTCCGTCAGGGCCTAGTGTGGGCTGAGCGCCACTTCCCGCTTTCGTCTTCACTGTAACACCAGCCTCGACCTTCTCTTTCTGCTCGTATCTCCATTGCTTTGATGTTTTGCTCGCTTACCGGGGTTTTCTTATAGCCGGTCAAGTCATAAACGTGCCTGCTTCCCAACCCAGGTCGGTAGAGCGCATCTACAGTCAACTTCGCGTATAATGACACTCGGCGGGGCATCAGAAAAGTGTCCTTATTCGCGAAGTGTCGTTATACCCGAAGCCCCATTGTATGTATTACAGTTGGATGTCACTTTGCTCTGGGTATCGAAATTCTGTCGTTATTCGCGAATTGTCGTTATATCCGCAGTCGTTATTAGCGAAGTTGACTGTATGTGCTCTCTTCTGCACAGTTCTTTTCCAGGGAAATACTGGTGGTTGGGGACGTTCCTCGTGTTTCTAAGATTACACCTCGAATGCTTCTTTTCACATCTCTCGTTGCAATGGTTAACACGTGGCGGTGAAGGGGGGGGGGGGGAGAGATTCCGCAAAGGTTAGCTATTGGCGAGTGCTGTTGTCTTTAGTGGGAAAGCTAGCCAGTAGGGAGGTTCTGCTCTACGTTTTGGGAACGCGACGCAAAGAATCACGCGAACTTTCTTCGCGTTCCCGTAACGTAAAGAAATGCTGTTCTGCTCTACGTTTCACCTAGAGAAGTCACGTGGAATGTGTACTGGGAATTTCCCCTTCCATATTTGGCAGTTTTCTGCATGCAGCTGATCGATACCCAGCAAATCCGTACGCACTTTCTCTGCGTGTGCCACAACGTAGAGAACCCCATCTCCGCGTAGAAATCTGGAGCCAAAACACGCGAAGCCGTAGACTCTAACCCAGACACCTGCTCTCTACGTGATTTCTCTACGTTTCACGTAAAGCAGAACCTCCCTATTGGCTAGTGCTGTATTCTTCAGTGCGAAAGCCATCCACTTGTTGCAAACGTTTCACACGTCTTCGACCTAGTCGTTGGAATCGACTTCCAACATACTCATGTCAAAAAATACCAAAAAAGGGATGCCTGGCCCCGTACCATCGTATAGGCATGTTTGCATCGGATCCACATGACAGTGCCCTGCATGGCAGTGCATGCAACGCTCCGTATGCGCTTAGCACGCTTAGTGTGCAGGCCCCAGTCAATTGACCGGATTTCCATGTCCACGACAGTAGTTTGCACATGACGTGTGTGAGGGTACAGTGAGGTCTGCGCCACACCAACCGGTGTAGATTCACACAAAGTAAGAGGTACGAAGTCTGAAGAAAATGTTGGACTGTCTCTGCTGGGATGACGGTTACAGCATCGCTGGCTACAAGCGAGGGTCCCTGGTTCGGGTCTTGGTCAGGTGCATTTTCTGCTTCAATGTCGGCGGAAACATTTAGTTCCATATTTTACCATGTGAAGTTCATCCACCGTCCGTAGAGGGCTCAATTTGCGAAAGGGAAGGAGCGGGATACGCACACAGCAGAACGAGCAGTTGCGGTTTCGTAACTCCGAGTTTCACGAACTTAATCGATCATCAGACTAAAATTGGTAATGACCCTGCCAGGCTATAATTATATATGTACCGTGAATGTGGCAAGTCCAGCATAACAATTACCATTATGATATGTAGAGCGACACAGCGTATGCGAGAAAGTTTTAGTTATCTGTGTATTGTTAACAAAGCTTGACAAAAGGTGTTATTTGGCCCAGCGTTACCTGCAGAGAGAAAGTGTTATTTTGTGTATATTTATATAAAAGAGAAAGAGCAAGGAACTGCAAGTTACGCTATACTCTCCACTAACACCACCAGTTACTAAACAATCAGCTCATGCAATAACATTGCACAACACTGACCGATGGTACTGACGTTCTACAACTAACTGGCTAACAACTCTAGCACATCTTGGATGTAACTTGCAGTTCCTTGGTCTTTCTCTTTTGTATAAATTAAACCTTGGCTCTTCGCGAAAATCTGTTTCGAAAAAGAAAACATGTGAGGTTTAGCAATGTGAAATGACTTTTTCTCGATGTTATTTGAATCTTATAAGTACCGTTCCGTATATGCAGCTCAGTCTCAAGCTGGGGCTGTAAAATTACTACTCCCTGTAGTCAAATGCGTACCTAGAAAAGATAAAGTTACTTTCGCAAATCACTTCAACTGCGCACCCAAGTTTTTGAAGTTTCGAGCCTTTTTTCTGTACTCATTCCCAGACTTGAAATTTCTTTCGAACTTTCGCATTGCCAAACGCCCTTATTATTTACTGAGTGATGTTCTGCTAGTATCATGTGACAACATTTCACAAGTAATATTTGTTCTCATGGCAGCACTTTGACACAAGCTCGGACCGTTTGTTGGGGCACCTGGATTCCATATTAATTTATATTTAGTACAGCGTCCCCCAGCTGATAGTTTCACGTCCCTCCAGAGCTAACCGCCACGATGCCTATGGTCGCAATTTTTTGAGGGATGCCATCGAGGACAAATTTCGGATGAAGTCTCACTGCTATGGGCAATTCACGGCGTGGATGGCCGACCTTGGCTTGTACTCCAAGCAAGACTCTATGCGGAAGCAAGATTCCCTCTTGTCGGACGAGTCCCGGTTTGAGAAGGTTGAGCTTACTACAGCTTACTACTGTATTCACCAGTGGGAGGAGGCGACCAGAAAGATACTCCGCCGAGTTTGCAAGGCATCCTTGGAAAGGATTTATACACAGCCGTGATGCCGGACGACAACAGCTTCTCTGAAATGTACGGTATGCAGGTACTGTTCTAACACTCCTCTGAGTCTTGTTTGCGGGACTTCAGTTACAATCATCTCCATAGTCCTCGAACGCATCCTCAATAAATGCCTCCAGTTCGTGCCAGGACACCTGGAGAACACTGTTGAAGCCCCCCAGTGTACGTGAGCTTGTTTCCCAATCTCAAGGCCCCGCCTGGCACTATCATCTTGACTATGCATGTGGTGGCCCTATACCCTAGTGTCCCGATTAACGGTGGCATTGCAGCAGTCATGAGAGTTCTTCGACAACACAAGAGCAGCATTGACCTGTTTAGTTTCCAAATTCGGCAAGTCAAGGAGCTCCTCGCACATGTACTGAACTCTATCCCCGGTTTGGAGCGAAGGTGTACCACCAGTCGGATGGCGTGGCTATGGGCGATAATCTCGCTCCCTCACCCCCCCCCCCCCCCTCTTGCCATCTTTTATATGCATGACCTAGAGATTTCGCCCTTGAGTAGTGCACCTGCTAGCCCAGTCCTGTACAAGCGCGATATCGATGATGTTTTCATTGTGTGGAACCTCGGTCCGGAGCTTCTGCAGAGTATTTGCTTCCATAGAATTGGGCACCATTGCCCATTTGGCCTTTGCGAAGCGAGAGAGCTTGGAAGCTCAGGGCCCTACGCTATGCTTTTATGCTTTATTGCCTGGCTCATCGTACGTATATAATAAATGTAGAGCCGAATGAATTATTGCAATTACATACCAGTATAAAACCGAGGTCCCCCGAGGTTTTTATAACTGGTATATAATTACAATAAATCCTGAGGCTACTACATTTATTATACATATGTTGACCTTCACTTTCCCTAAAAAGGAGTATGTTATAAACAGTATTTATTGGCCTTAGTGGTATTTAACAAACAGTATTTATTGGCCTAAAAGCCAATAAATACTGTTTACAAAATACCACTAGGCCAATAAATACTGTTTATAAAATACTCCTTTTTAGGGAAAAGTGCAGTGCTGCATGAAAAAGTACAGTAGTATTTATTGAGTCGAGCAAGTTTATTTGAATTTGATACTGTTGATGGTGTGGTCACTAATGAGTGTGGGTATTTATAAAAGGTCAATATATATGTTATTAGAACTGATGGAAATGGGTTTTTTCCGCTGATTGGCCACATCATTGTATTGCAAAAACGTTTCAAATAGTTTTGTTAGGTACCTCCTCCCGTACC